AGTAACGCAGGCTCTGGGTACGGGATTTTCGATTAAATTCGATTCGAGCATGCACATTAAATACAGGTAGCCAGCATCGACGAGCATGCGCAGCAAGGATGACACAGCTCTGGGGTGGAGTGACGAAATCCGAAAATGAAGAATACGTTATAACACTAATTATAACACTATTCCCAGTGGATTCGTCTCACACTATAAGAGGAGATGAGAGCAAATGAGCATTACCACATTCTATCGATCCTGGAGGTGTACTATGGCTCAAGAAGGTGAAGTTCAAGTCCCTCGTGAAGAAAACCTACAAGATGCTCAAGCAGCGGCGGCAGGAATTGTTCCTGTTGTCCATGCCCAAGAACCCCAACCGGCTGTAGAACCAGCCCCTCAAGTTCCCCAAGAGAATGCTACATTGGTTCTATTTTCGCTTGATCTAGTTTTAGTGTTCCATGCTTTTACAACTCGGCCTTGCTTTGTAACGTATATTTTAATAGCTTTGCCGGCTTAATTTTAGTTTGTTTTACATATATTTGTATGTCATGCCTTGCTTTCAAACGTATCGGTTTATCCCTTTGCAGGCAGTCTTCTTTTGCTTTACATCAACATGCCGTGCTTTAAACGTTGGCTTTATAGCTTTGCCGGATAAATTTTAGTTTGCTTAAATATATTTACATGTCATGCCTTGCTTTCAAACGTTTAGCTTATCCCTTTGCAGGCAGCCATTTTTTGTTCTGCATCAATTTTCAGTTTCTTTCAATTGGTATTGCTCCTTTTTCAAATGTGTTGATTTATCGCTTTCAATTAAGGCGGTTTCCGTTTGTTTTTTYTCTCATCCATTTGCCTCACGTGCTTCAAACGTTTAGCTTATATAGCTTTTCAGGCAGAATTTTTAAATTTGTTTGAATTTATTATCTGCATTTCTCTCTAAAGTGTTGCTATTTAGCCTTGCAGGCATGATTTCCATAGCTTTCTAGCTTTGCAGCCAGTTTGTTTGTTTTGTTTTGTTTATTTTTCTTTCATTTTTAGAATCATACTTTTCGGCTAGCTTACCCCGCCTACTGCTATTGTTTGTTCGTTATGGTTTCATAACCAGTTGCCATTCGTTTGCCGCCTTTGTGGTTTTTACCTTTTATTTGTTAGACATCTGCAATCGACTTTGTTTGCGGACCTATTGTTTTATTTCTTTCCTAGCATTTTTTAGTCCTGTATTTATGCAAATTTGTCAACCGCCATGGATGCTTGATTTTTAACGGACTCTGCATAATTTATGCTTCACGCCCTTTGTGTGCGTTTAGTTGCGTTTTCAATGCATCATCCCGGAATTTACGCAATATTCGCTTTTCTTATGATATCCAGGCTCTACATTTTTATCAGCTTTTTCTGTGCTCCCTTTTCTCTCCCTTTCCCCCATGGAAGACATCCTCAAAGAGATTCTTATTTCCCTCTCGGATTACCGGGGCTGAGTTTGTCATCCCTTGGGCCCTCTCTTTTTCCATTCTTTTATCCTAGTGTACATACCCTCACTTCCACCACTGGGAAAAGCGCACAGGATACCATCCCGATAAAACCAGCTCGCATATACCGTTTTGGATGCGATTTGATGGATCCACCGTACATGAGGCCCAGGGGATGACAGACAATGCTCATTTTTTTCTACTATGAATGTCTCTATGTATTCTTGTCTGGGTTTTTTGAGGTTGGGCTTCCTTTGTCTTTTGGTCCCAGTCCTTGGACAATTGCAATGCACTTATTCAGAGACTGCTCAATCTCAAGACCAAGGGTGAAAGAGAACCCTGGATATAATCTACTATTCCCAATGGACTCGTATCACACTATAAGAGGAGATGAAGGCAAGTGAGCATTACCACATTCTATCGATCCTGCAGAATTATGTTGTACATAAGGCCACATTTACCATGTTCTTAGCGTTTTCTTCCACAATCCGTGTCTTGTCCCGTTTCATTTTTCCCATCCCGCACCCTCCCATTTCCTTTTTAGACATACTTCTTACGGGACGAGACAGTGCTGGTGCCCAATCTCAAGACCAAGGGTGAAAGAGAACGCTGGGAATAATCTACTATGCTTTTTTATATTAGATTACTTTCCAAGATGTTTTGGAAAGTAATTAATATAAAAAAGACATTTTGCTTGTTTATCAAATACTTTGCCGTGTTGTCCACCTTTTTCTTTCCTTTACATCCTGTTTTAGAAATGGACCGAATCCACTTGGGCGTAATGTTTTCAAACTTCAAACCACGAATAAGATTCTTCGTTTGAGTTGTATCCATCTGTTCATGTGTATTCTGATGCGCAACCGTTAAACAAAGAAATTCTACTGTAAGGAATAAGACGTGGTCCGAAATGGGAAAGCATTATGTCCAAGTGGATAAGCCATKCCACCGTCATCCTTAATGTAGCTATTGATGGCATTGCCAGACCTGATTAGCCTACTAGGGCCCAGTCATAACCTGCGTGTCTTAAGGTGGCTCGACTGGGTTTTGTTTGTGACGTACCTTCGAAGTTTGAAGGGGGAATGCGTCGCTGCCAATAAATTAAATTCAAATRAATTATTATGACATGTCTAGAGATAGATTCAAGTTTTAAATGATATACAATTTATCATGATCGGAGTTACCATAGCAATACAGTGACGTCATGTCATTTTTTTAT